ATGGTGAACAGTTACATTTCCCTTATCTAAGGAAAAATATAACGGCACTGGAAGGAGTCTAGAGAAGATTCATTAGGTTGGTACCAGGTATGGAGGGATTTTATTAAGAAGAAATCTTGAGTAGGTCAGTTTCAATGGAGTTTAGAAACAAAAATGATTCTCAGCGGCACTTGACAGGGGAGATGAAGTGCAAAGAGACTTGGGAGTTCTGGTCCAGGATTCTCTCAAGGTAAACTTGCAGGTTGAGTCAGCAGTCAGGAAGGCAAATGCAATGTTGGCATTTATTTTGAGAGGACTTGAATATGAAAGCAGGGATGTACTACTGAGGCCACCCTGGTCAGGCCACATTTGGAGTATTGTGTGCAGTTTTGGGCCCCATATGTCAGGAAGGCCCTGGAGCAGGTTCAGAGGAGGTTCACGAGAATGGTCCCAGGAATGAGAAGCTTAACATATGAGGACTCTAGGACTATACTGATTGGAGTTTAGAAGGATGAGGGGCGGATTTAATTGAAACTTACAGAATACTGAATGGCCTGGACAGAGTGGATGTTGGGGAGATGCTTCCATTGGTAGGAGAGACTCGGACCCGAGGGCACAGCCTTAGAGTAAAGGGAAGACCTTTTAGACAGAGATAAGGAGAAACTTCTTCAGCCAGAGAGTGGGGAATCTATGGAATTCACTGCCACAGAAGGCTGTGGAGGCCAGGTCATTGGAGTACATTTAAGACGGAGACAGATAGGTTCTTGATTATCAAGGGGATCAAGGGTTGTGGGGAAAAAGCGGAAGAATGGGGTTGAGGAACTTATCAGCCATGATTGAATGGCAGAGCAGACTCGACGGGCCGAATGGCCTAATTTTTGCTCTTATGTCTTGTGGACAGGTTGTTTCCCCTTGTGGGAGAATCTAAAACCAGAGAACATAATCTCAGAGAAAGAGTCGCCATAATCTCAGAGACAGAGGTGAGAAATTTAATCCCACAGAAATTAGCGAAACTGTAGAATTCTTTAGTGCTGTAGGCTGGGGAGGCTGGATTCTTATAGATTCAAGTATATTCAAAGCTGAGGTAGAGAGATTTTTAAACAGTAAGGGGATTAAGGGTAATGGGGATAAGGCAGGAAGTGGATTTGATAAGCCGAATGGTCTATTTCTGCTCCTATGTCTTAAGATCTTGTTTCTAACCATAACCAGAAGTAGACAGCTGGATGTATTTTCTGGTAGAGTACCATTCTGAGGGATTTGTAATTAAAATTTGGCAATGCACAAGTTACAATACGATCACTAAATAACTTGCCCCATTTCGAAAGACGGATTAAAAAAAGCTTTGCATTTATGAACATTTATCCCCCGACTCTCAGAAATATAACATTTACAATAAATAACTTCAAAGCATAATACCCGTTATCTTTTTGCTCTCAGTATGATCTCTCAAACAGATTAGCATGGATGATCAGCTAATATGCTTTTCTTAACGCTTTGATTTCTGATTAAGAGGCAGCGTACAAGAAAACGCTTTGCTGCTCCTCTAATAGCCCCAACTCCTCCCTTAATTACAGCCACAGCCAAGTAGAACTGCAGCTTAATGCATTATTTAAGGGGATACCTCTAACAGTGCAGTACTCCTTCACCACTGCAGTGAAAGTGTCTGCCTTGGATTCAAGTCCAAGATAAAGCAAGTCTTGTATTTATACAGGGTCTTTCATGATTTTGGAACATGCTCAAGTGTTTTAAAGCCAATAAAGTACTTGGAAATGTAGGGAATCTGCAGCCAATTTACAAAAATCAAGCTCCCACAAATCCAAAAATATGATTTAATGATGTTAACTGGTAAACAAATACTAGCCTAGACACCTGGATGAACTCCCTTGTCCATCTTTGAAAGAGTGCATGGAATCTCTTATGGCCAACTGAGAGGAAACAGATTTTCATTTAATGTTTAAGCTGAAATACTCCATCTCCAAAAGTTGAGCATTCCATTAGTACTGCACTTGAGTTTCAGCCTAGATCACGTGCTCAAGTCTGTGCGTCAGAATTTCATGGAATTAAGTCCCACACTAGAGGTAAGGATGTTATTTAACAATTAACAATTTTAAAATATTACTAAATAAACGGCAGAGAGTAGTGAAAGGAAAAGACTGATATTAAGGTCTATCATAACAAAGTTCTTAATGTAACAAATATTTCAAACGTTCAGTTCAAACCACATCTTAAATGCTGCTAAAATTAACATTCTGCAGGTAATCTATCAAATAACAAAGTAGCATGACCTTTACCTGACAAGCTATTCTGATGAGGAAATTTACTACAGTATCAGTGTGCTGTTTATCAATAGGTTTTGAAAGCAGATGATCTGCCCCTGTTAAGGACTGGCTTCGTCCAAACACCTGTTGGTTTAAGAAGATTTAATTAAGGTTACTTTGCAACAAGATTGCAAATTAACTGTTTTGATCCAATTGATCTGACACCAGTCAGATTCCAAATTAAATCAGTATGTAACAATTTTTCAAAAAGTTCAATTTATGGCATATGGTAAGTTTGGCTTCCTGGATGCATTAATATAGATCAGGTTAACGTAAGCTGGAACAGCATCCAAAGTTGCTTTTGCTCAGGAGAACTTGTTTTAATGACCTTGTAACTGTCTAAACCAACACATATTCTGACACTTCAGAAGGGAGAAACTAGAGTTTTGACTACATCAGTCTAAGAAACCTTTTCTGGTATAAAGCACACTTTGACCTCTATTAGCAGATGGATTTGGCTTTGGAAGATTACAGCTTTGCTTAAGATTTAAAGCACTTGCAGTTCTCTAAGCAATGGGGGATCATTTCGGTATTAGAAGGTAAGAGTTGGCTCATTTTCCACATCATAAAAGTTAATCTTAGACATTCACTGAATGCTGACATCAAAAAAAGCAACAGAGCATTAAGCTATTATTCAGTTGGCAAGGAACAATTTTGTAGTTATGCGAATGCATCTACAATTTCAACTTTTTTTTAAACTGAATGCTTCTAACTGAGCCAAGGTTTAAACTCCACTTTCTAAAAATGAAAGGAAGAGAAAAGGAAGACTAGCTGAGAGTTCCCAATAAATATTTTTTTTTCAGTTCTGATGAAAATATCAGACCAGAAACATTCTTCGTTTCTTTCTCCACAGATGTGGCTACACTCGCTGAGCATTTGCAACATTTTCTGTTCAATATCCAACAGACTCTAAAATATTAAGTGTGCAATTGACAAAAAAAAAACTAGCGCATCAGCCATGATTAAGATAAATAAACAAACAAACAAACAAACAAACAAACAAACAAACAGTCAGATCCCCAAGGATTTAGCATGTATTATGTACACCTTCTGCAATTATACCATTACATCATACGAAAAATGAATGCACTTTCTAATTGAAATTAAAATAAAGTAGCACATGACGAATTAAATGCAGTAAACATATGCAGAGAATGCCTTCTGCTGTCCGTGACTAAATTAAGGTAAATTTCTGAATTTTTGACCATTCCTGAATTTTTGACATTCCAGTTTTGCCAGCTCAGCACTTTTCCTTCCCTAGAAAAGCATGTTAGAATAAAACACAAATACAGAGATTGGTGCAGCTTAGATCAGAAAATGGTATCCTACAGAAACACAGCATGTTCAATGACTTTGGCACAACTACTTTAATAAGAGGAATACTGAATACTGAATACTGAAGTCATGCTCTCTGAAAACAATGCAAGATTAAGTGAGACAGGTTTGGCTAAATACCAATTAGGTTGATGCATAAAATGCTAAATGGTAATACCCAGGTTGTCGTCACTGAGTTCAATTATCTGAAAACATGACAGATTGTGAACTGTTTATGTGATCAATTACACATTGCATTCAAGGTAAAGGAATTAATTATCTGCTTTGAAAAGCAGAATGGATGAAGTTCAGAGCTATTTCATATTACATAAACCAATACATACTAATCAGGCTAAATATTTGTATCTTGCAAAGTTATAAACAATCTTTAATTTGTTGTTGAGAGAGCTCATTTATAGTAACATTATCAATTTCATTGGAAATTGACTTTTTAACTATATTTAATTGCTAGCTAAAAGACATGAAATGGATTTCAATGCAATTTGAACTAGAGTGCAAATGCTACAGTGCTAGAATTAATTTAGCTGCATCAAAAACTTACCTATACAACTGTATTAATGGAGTGATCAAAGCATCAATTACACAGCTCCAGTTACTGACCCCAAGACATTTCTTTGCAAAGAAAGCAAAGGGTGGGAAAAAGACAATGCATTACCGTTCTTATTAAATGTATTGAACGTGAACCAGATACTGTCCTCTATCTTTGGCTTGTACTCACAGTTCCAGCATTTGTTCTGAAGCGTTTCACATCCTGAGCAGAATCCACTGATAAACCTCGTCTGACATTGCCATTGGTTGCACTGGTTCCCTCACCACCGCCATTTCCGTCAGGATCAGAGTCTGGCTACATTTTTTAAAACAGCATGGCAGGGAGCAGGGGTGAGGAGTTGAAGAAAATGGTAAAATATTCAATATTCATTTGGCAATATCTAAAAATCAACAGATCATACATCACAGTCACCTTTTGAAAAGAATAAACAAAAAATATATCAGTTGTAAATCTCATTTCAGCAATCTGGATGTACACAATAAAGGAGTTTTGTTTCATTTTCTTCTTTTGGTTCTGATGTGGTCAGTGGAGTTGAGGAGCTAACTTATTGGCATACAGCCTTTAAGGTACTGAAATATCCTATATACACACAGCACCAGCCTTTTTGTCTACAATGCATTCTCAGATTCAACATTTCCTGTCGTTGTATGACTGGATGCCTGCTTCTTTTTATGTATAGACTGTCTGGCTATATGACAAGTGTTAAAAAGTAGTATAAATATAGCACCTTCTGTAAGCTCCTAATGTATTCCAGATAATTAAGAATCTTTGAAGTGCAGCCCCTGTTGTGGGGATCATGGCGCCCAATTTGAATATAGCACAATTCAATAAACAGTAATGTGCTATATAAATAGATAATTACCAGAGAGGGTTGTGGAGTCGGCCTCATTAGGGGCATTTAAGCGGCTATTACATAGGCATATGGATGATAGTATAAAGGTAGCGGTGGAGGTTAGATAGACCTTAGGTTTCGGGTAAAAGTTCGGCACAGCATCGTGGGCCAAAGGGCCTGTACTGTGCTATACTGTTGTATGTTGTATGTTCTATGTTCTATGGTCTATGGTCAGGACACCTGTAAGCACTCATAAATGCCTTGGGATCTTTTATGTCCCCTCATCACAGTAGACAAAGCCTTTGTTTAAAGTCTCATCTGAAATAGAGCCCCACCAACAATAAAGTGCTTTATTAGTCTGCACTGATGAGTCAGCTAGAGTTAATGCTTGGAAGTGAGACTTGAACCAACAAACTTCTGACTCAGAGGTGGACGTGTCAAGGCTGAAATAATGATGGGATCTTACTCAATTACACCAAAAGATGTTTTGGCATATAAATAATATTCTCTTCCCTAGGATTATTAACTACCCCCTCAAATCATAGCACTAAAATAAGACACATTATTTTATAAAATTAAACCTTAGAGGATCTAAACTGCTACTGAATGTTTCATTTTTGATTTGATTCTCAAAGTTATAGATTCAGCAACAAATTTAGGTTTCAACCCCAAGTGGAGGCCTCCAACACTAGAAATAATTTTGGTAGGAATAACAAAAAGGAAAACCAAAAGAACTGCGGATGCTGTAAATCAGGAACAAAAACAAAAAGTTGCTGGAAAAGCTCAGCAGGTCTGGCAGCATCTGTGGAGGAGAAAACAGAGTTAATGTTTCGGGTCTGGTGACCCTTCCAGTAAGAAAAAGGAACTTTTTAAAAAAAAATAACATCCTAATCTGTAACTGAGCACACAGGGTTAAATCCACCTGTAATGTGAATCGAGGCAGGTAGTCTCCTTCATCAATAAGAATAACATGCACTGATTTTATATACATACACAACTTTGAACATCCAAAAACATTTAACAGCTCATTATTAAAACTGTTAACCTATTTATGCTCAGATGTATAACAGTTTCAACAAGTAATCCTTTGGAATGTTAACAACTCTCTGACATAGGTTTAGAAGAAAACAGCGCTACATTGCTGGAATCGAGCCTCACGAGGCAGAATTTATACAAAATGGTAGCCCCTCTTAAAACAATAAGATGCAACTTTTAATCTGAATCAAGATTATGTTAAAAACGAACTTAAAATGAAATCTTGAATGGGGAAAATGTCCAACTGTCATGCTCTTAAAATAGAGGACAAACTGATATTCTGCATATTATTTTACCTGCTGGTCCTTGATTCTCTGCAGCTCCCATTTAATGACAACTTCAGCCAGATCGACAGCTAATTTCCTCTGTTCAATGGTGACACTAGGCGTGAAGCCTAGTCGCTGCATGGCACTAACCATGTGTTGCACAAGGTGATGTCGCACTGGGAAGTACACCTAAAGAGAAACATTATTCACACAAGTTGCAGAATACTCACAATATGTCCTTTCTTTCATGTCTAATTCTCACTATGCAAGAAGAAAGGCTTCCAACATCTCCTCCTATAAACTGTGTACTTGTAACACACCTTTGCTGGGTAGACGTGAGGGAGCTAGGCCTCTTTTCATTGGAGCGAAGAAGGGCGAAAGGTGACTTGATAGAGGTGTACAAGATGATAAGAGGCATAGATAGAGAGGATACCCAGAAACTTTCACACAGAGCGAAAATGACTATTATGAGGGGTCATAATTTTAAGGTGATTGGAGGAAGGTAGGGGGAGATGTCAGAGGTAAGTTCTTCACTCAGAGAGTGGTGGGCGTGTGGAATGCGCTGCCGGCAGTGGTAGTGGAGTCAGATGCTTTAGAGACTTTTAAATCGACTCTTGGATAGGCACATGGAGGATAGTAAAATGTAGGGTATGCAGGGTAGATTGATCTTAGGAGGATAATAGGTCGGCACAACATCTTGGGCCGAAGGGCATGTACTGTGCTGTACAGTTCTATGCTGCCATTCAGGGACCACACCTTTCCAGTAAATATTATTCATATCTGATTTTTTTCCCCTTCTGATCCAAGACAACCTGTCAGCTCGTTTTTTATATTAAGAATATTGGACAACTCAGAGTGGAATAGAGGCAGGAATCAAACGGATAGGTTCAAATAATGATTTAAACCACGAAAGTGAACTGTAAGAGATTTCATCCCAAATGTAAAACTTGCTTATGGGAACCCAGTCAAATGCATTTCTCTGATCATAAAGGGATTTTTTTTCTCTACTGTTCTGCTGAAGTTCTTCATTTCTTGGAATGTTACAAAGTGATAGTGTAAGATGAGATGCCATCTGCAAAATAAGCAGTTACCTTTACAAAAAGACCACAAACTATCTAGCCCTTTCAAGTGGATTTTAGGAAGGAATCCTTAATTTTTCTTGTGGTGCAGAACGTATCTGCAAAGCTGCCTTTGTGGTATTTTACTGGCTTCTTCTTCAAATTTGGAGGTTTATTTTTGATTGTCTATTTATACTAGTCCCTTCAGAAAATAATAGTTAGCTATATAGGGCAAGGTGGGATTTCAAGACCAGGGCACATATATTTGAGAGGAGAGAGATTTAAAAACAACATGGAGGGGCAAATTATTTTTTTAAAACACACAGGGTGGCTTGTGTGGGATGAACTTCCTTAGGAAGTGGTGGATGTGGGCACAATTACAACATTTAAAACACACTTAGATAAGTACATGAATAGGAAACCTTTGGAGGGATATGTGCCAAGCATAGGCAAACTCGACTAGTTTGGTTTGGGATTATGTTTGACATGGACTGGCTGGACTGAAGGGTCTGTTTCCATGCTGTATAACTCTATGACAGCCAGCAGAATCGACACATAAATAATCCTAATGGTAGGGCACAGTGGAATCATTGACAGTAGAAGACAAGTTTTTTGCCTTGTATCCTCTTGGCATTGCAGGACAATGGAGTTGTTGACTAATCACAGTAATCAATCAATCTCTATCAATTAGTCTACACAAGGCATACAAACAAGTGGTGGAACCATCACATCAAAATGTTGCCCTCCCAAGCATGCATCGTGTCACAAATGTTTAATGTTTTGTTGTTGAGGTGTTAGCTAATAGATAGAAATTCAGTTTATTCTTGTAACAAGGACTTACCCTGAAATGTTGAACAATAAGATGCAAAATGTGAACCAGCTGAGGCACTGTGTGCCCTTCTTCCACAATGATTTTTCTTGTCCAGTGGGTGAGCATTTGATGCCCATCCTCCATGCGAGCAGGGACAGCGGGAGTCAAAATGGCCATCGCTTGCCTGACTACCAATCGAGCTTCCATAGCATGAGCTTTGAGCAAACTGAGGAAAACCTGTGAAAAATTAATTTAGAAATGCTTGATCTTGACATATGGTTACATCCCAAACTCTTAAAATTATATATATTGCTCATTCACCAATCACACCTGAGCTCAATGCCCCGCATGGATTCCTGACCTGACAATTCAACAATTTTCAAATTCGCACCCTCATTTTCAAATTGCTTCATTGCTTTACCTATCTTATCTATGTAACTTCCTCTACCCCTACAAATTTCCTGGATCACTGTTCCTCTCCAATTCTGGTGCCTTGCAAATCCAAATTTCATTTCTCCTCAAGCTTTATAATTCCCTGCCTACACCCTGCTGTCTCCTTACCTCAGCTCTTTCGCAATGCTGCTTAGAACGTACCTGTTTGACCAACCTTTAGTCACCAGTCCTTCTAAATTTTTGACACGGTTGATGTCAAATTGTGCTTAATACCAGTTACCATCTAGTGCCCAGGAATGTTTCATCACATTACTGCTGCATGTTCATTCAAATAATCATGCTTTTGTTATATTCTAACTCTGAAGCCAAGCCAAGCCAATTTAAAAACATAACTGAGACAACTTCTCTCAATTAATCAAATCACATAGACACTATATCTGCGAGTGTCTTTTCCATTTTTCTTTGGTGTTGCATAACAAGGTAGAGTATAGGAGCAATCACCAATTTGCTTCTCTGCATTTTCACTGCTACAAAGACAAAATTCTATGTCATACAGCATGCCTGATTTATTATGAACCTTAAAAGCATGCAAAAAATCTAAGAATATGGCACCACTAGAATCCTAAGGATGCAACAAAACATTGGTTTTTTTAAGTTTAACTACTGCTGTCTTGTAGGCAAACGTCATAGCCAAATTTTGCACACAGCAAGTTCCTACAAACATCAATGAGCAAGAGACAAGATTGTCGGTTTTTGGAAGCAGTGACTGAGGATAAATGCTGGCCAAGACAGGAAAGCTCCTTGTTTTTCTTGGAATATTGTCAAGAATATTCACTTGACCGGGCAGACAGGATCTCGGTCCAATGTTTTGTCAAAAAACAAAACATTTCTGCACTACAATGATGCATTCACTCACTATTTTACAAATTGATCTGCCTGAGCCATGTATTTAAAGGCTCGAGTGAGCCTTAAGCCCTTGACCTGATTCAGAAGTCTGCAAGTCTACATTATGCAGTTAATTTAGCTGAATTGTCAAGACAGTTTCTGTCCACTAATACCATTCAAAATCTAGCACAATACAAGCAGAATTCATAAAAAAAACTTTGCAAATTAAGATCTTCATTCAAAATAAACCAAATTTTAATGAGCTTTGTCAAAAAACAAATGCAATGGCCTTGATGAAAAAAATCAAATTTAATGTTCGCTGCAAAAAAAAGCAATCTTTGTTAATAACTCAGTTCCAGTTACAATAAATGCTGGCCAGCAAGCAACATTCTTAACCCCTGAACAAATAATGAAACTAAAAAAGTTTCAAAAACATACACATTACTATGAGATTGCTAGAATTAAACAGGGTTACAATGTTGGTGAATTGGTGTTTAGTGCCCGTTAAGTGAAAAATATCTAGTTTGTCCTAGATTTTGCAGTGATTGCCTGCAAGTCTAGACATAAATCCATTCAACACATTTATAAGACAGTAAAATAGCAGTTGGATTCACTCAGCTGAAAAAAAGTACTTTGTTGCTCAATACCAGACAGTAAAATTTGTAAACATAGACACCTTTGTGCACGGGATCAACTGACGTTGTTTGCATAAGTCTTCATTTCCAAAATGGTTATTGCATAATCTGTAAACAACGTCTCCGGTCATCAAATACCTCACACAGAAACCACTCCATCCCTAGGATTGTGCCACGTAAGCATACAATTCCAGAGATAGATGGATAGCTTCTCTGTCAAAACATTGAATGTGTCAGGCGTTAACAAATTCTTTCATAAAAACCAGAGAGAATTTTGTTGTGGGTGAGTGGGGGCAGGGCGGATACATTGCATAAAGTAAACAAGCTGAAATTTGTGTGACTGATTCAGTGAAGGCAAACTTGCAGTAAAAAGGATTCAGTGCTTTGAAGGCCATCCATAATTTGCACCTTGCCCAAGTCCATAGTTTCAGAATGCCTTTTGTACATTTTACCACGCAGATTATCTGACTCTCTGCTCAACTATCTGTTTACGCAGGTAACACTGTTGGTAGATGTGATCAACATTTTCTCAATTTAAAATCTGATATTCGGTCACATCTGCCATATAAAGTGACATGAAATTACATGGTTTACAATATGAAGCTTACCTGCAAGACAATCTTTTTATGAATTGCAAATTTGGCTATGATATGAGCCAGTAGTAAGTGGCCACTGTATTTGCAGGCTGGATCCACACAGGTCTTGGAAAGCAGGCAAGGCCATGCAAATGTCATCAGGCGTCTCAGTTTGCTGTTTCGATTTTTATTATTGTCGTGGATGTGGTGTGGTGCATGCTCAACGAGAAGAGTTGCAAACTGCAGCAAGTAAATCCTTAAAGCATCTAACATTTCAGCATGCTTCTCTGGATCCAGTACCTGAGAAAAAAATCCATAAATATTTAAATAGATAAAAGATTAATAAAAGTTAACAAATTAATGAGTATAGGCTTAAAGAACAAAGTGGTGATGAGAAGAGAACTATTTTAAAAAAATAAAAATTACGATGTAATTTTATTTTAAACAGAGGAGTTATGGTATAGGTTGCATTGTTTGTGAAGATAGTGAAAGCAGATTTAAATACCACCTCTCAGTTGGGAACTGGGCATATTCTTGAAAGGAAAAATGTGAAGGGCAATGATGAAAGAGCAGATGAGACACACTGGATAGGTTTCTGAAGAAAACACCACTGGGAAAAACAGGCTAAGTGGCCTCTGCCTATGCTGTATGACTCTACAATACCACGTCCAATTGAACAGATAAAGACACTGTCTCTTAGGAAATGCTTCCGGAAACCAAGGCAATTTTTCTCTCCTTCATAACATCAGTAATCATAATTATGTAAACAAAATACGTTCATAGAAAATAAATTATATATAAGCATTTTGAATCCTCTAAAGATGCTCAAGGTACAGAGATCACTGCTGGAAACACCTTAAATTGTAGAAATGTCTGAATTATTACTATTTACCTTCTAAAACCTCTTTTGTTAAAAACAGAAATGATTTATGAGTTACCACAGGTGGGACTACATTTTAAATTACAATGAAGGATAATCACACTTTCAAACTGATGAATAATTTATTGGAATTAAACAGTTTACTACTCCAACACAGCAAAGAGCAAAGACATGAATGTGTAACAAAAGATTCTTTGACACATATTTACAAACAAGAAACTTGCAAAAATATCCAAACTATTAGCATTACCTTTGTAATGAAAACACTTGTGATGCTATCAGGATTATCTCCCTCAGGATTTGGAGGCCCTAAAAGTTGCTCCCCTTCACCTTTGTCAAAGCTGTATTGGAAAGCGGGGATCAATATGTGCTGTAGAGCCTAAAAAAGAATGCAACAGCAAAATCACCAACAAATAGCATATGATATTCCTTTCACTGCATATGTTTGAATGCCACAGAATCAGAGTAATATCATACACTAAGAGGCCAGTCAGCCCATCATTGCTGTGCTCATCTTTTCAAACATATAAATTGCATATTTTAAAGCTTAGTCACTTCTCAGTTCTGAAGATCGAATACAAAAGCTTACTTGCATAACACCTAAAAAATATCAACATATTGTTTAAAAATCTTGACGAAAGTTGAAATGAATACAAATGCTTTGCACGGAGAAAGATTTGGCTTGTAATTGTACAAGAGGAGCACATCAGATCACAAGACCCAAGGTCAGCTGTGCACTAATCACCACATCCTTCAATGGTTCATCTGGCTGAGTAAATGCCACCAATCTTACAAAGCATAATCTTGAGCTGATATATTTTTGCAGGTATCTGCAGGCAAAGTCAAAAGATAATGGATGACATGCAGCAAAACAAAACAAGCAAACATTCAGTAGAGTTTGTCTTAATTCATGAATTTTTGTTTAATTGCATCTCCAAATGAGAACGAGTCATTTCATTTAATCAAAGTGCTTCAGCTGAAATTCTTGTGTTGCTTTGGTCATGCAAATATTTAAAGGTCAAACATTTCAATGATTAAAATATAAAATATTTGATATTTAAATCCATTCATCCATCATTAACAATCACCACAGAAATAAATTAAATTCACAAATACATTAATCCAGAAATACATTGTTACGTTTTCCCATTAAGTTACATTATAATGGTTAACCAATCTGGAGAATGATAGGTCCAACTGCATCAATATAAATACAAACGCTGGCTTAGAGATTTTGAAATGAAAGGTTCTAGCCACAAATTAATTATGATATCTGATCACACGTGAAATAGATCACAGTTTTAATTATAACTTTGAAGTTATTACTGATCGGATGAGAAACTAAAACATTGTACATCCTCAGAAAATGTCCTTTCCTTTTACCAAAGCAAATGAATTTGCTATAAAAATGTCAAGAATTTGCCTCCAATCTGAAGGAATTTAAATACAGAAATCTAAGCCCTTAAGATGTCAAGGATAACTGGAGAAAGAACAAGAGGTGAGCAGGCTTTCAATTTTTTAGAACAAAAATGGTGTTGAGACCTTGAATGCACTGCCTGTAATTGAATAATAAACTTGCAAACAAATGGAATAAATACTTGAATGGAAAATAAAATTACAAAGGCTATGGGGAAAGAGCAAAGGAATGCAAATAATTGGTCAGCATGTTCAAAGGGTTGGTACAGAGAACATGAACTGAATTGCACCCTTCTCCGCTGTAAGATTCTAAGATTCAGTTCAGGAGGGTTTGTTTTATATTGACATTTTCCAGGAGTTAAACATTTATATGCCCAGAGATAAACAATTCTAGATGTTTCTGAACATGGCTAAAGGAAGTTCAATGTGCCAACTTGCTTATTTCTACAATATAGTACGGTTACCTTGGCTTTAAGCTCATCTCCAAAGTTTGGATCATAAAATTCCACAAATCTGTTAAACAGGACACGCTTCTGTGCCACACTGTAATTCTTTGGAATCTCTTCTTCCATATACTCCTTCAGAAAGGTCATATTGCTCAGAAAACGCCCCGTGAATGCTCGAAGCAGTTGAAACAACAGCTCAATCTCTGCGTAATTCCGTCTGCGGGAAAGTTAAATTTCATAATAGATCAGTTATTTCTAAGATAGATTAAAACAGAACTTCTTCAGTATATGCTCCAATCAATTTACTATGAATGTAGCTGCAACCTCAAAACAAATCCCAAAGACATTGAATCAACATTGAAGTGTTCAAAACTTGTTATAATTCCAAATTATTAAATACTGCTTGATTATGAATAGCTTTTGGAGAGAAAATAAGGATGAATTGTTTTCATTGTATGGAAGGTCAAGGATAAAAACTGAAGTTATTTGGCAAAGGATCCATAACTTTCAAGAGAACTGGATAATTATTAAAAAAAAACTTGTAAGACAATGAGGAACAGGAGCAACAGGAGGAGTGGCATTGATGAGAGAAGGGCCAGCACAGACAAGGCAAACACATCGGCCTGCTGCTGCACTGTATGATTGTGCGATTAATCCATTATGACACAGATTCCACAAAGATGCACATATGAAAATAATGCAACAGGCATGCCAAAATTGGGAAAAAAGAAATCCAAAAGTAATGAAATTTTAGGTGCTTGATTGACAAATGCTTGAAAGCTTAGCTGTATTTCTTAAACATCAGGCATGGATTTTTAGCAAAAAGTTTACAAAGATCTTAAGTCATAGAGAGCTATTACAAGTGCGAGAGTTTTCAAAGTACATGGAAATACGCAATGGTAAAAGCCCTTCAAATCACATATTTTAACAAATAAATTACACTAGTCCATTTTGTTTTCAAGAGGAAACATTGCATACTTGCAGTAATTCAACAGGCAAAATGCAAGAAGCTTTGGTTCCTTCCAGTGAGTGGCAACCATGCTTTCCTTACGGTGGCGCTCCTGGAAAGCATCACTCACCCAGACCCGGCGTAAGTGGCTCACTAGCTGAGGTTGGCCAGATAGCCAGTTCCCATCATTCTTCACTATGATACTGATAATCTGTTAAACAAAACAGAAATTGGTGGAGCAGAGTAGCTGAATGAGACTATAATAAAAAGCTTGCAGTCTGGGAAATAGCGGAGAGGTTAAGTACCTTCATTTTTCAAATGTTGCTCTCACCGACCCCTGCCTTGTTACACAATAGAAATGTTAGCGTCTGCTAGGAAAAGGAGACTGCTCAGGAAATAAGTTAACTCAGTGAAAAAGCGCACTTAAACTTACAGTCCAGGAAAGTTTGATTACAATTTTGGAGATTTTTAAAAGGCTGAGTAAGTCGAAGCTCTCAGTTGTGACTGGTCAAGAGAAAAGGCTTCAGTTCACAGGATCACAACTGAAAAGACGTGGTTAGGTTGGGAACAGTAATATCTCTGGTTTTTATGTAACTGTAAAGTGGTGGTGTTGGGGAGGGGGGAATAGATAGGATTTTGTTTTGCAATCTTTCAAACTGTGCTGTATATAGATATCTTAGTTTGGTTTATTCTACTTTTATTTCTTTGGCACAATAAACTGCTTTATTATGAGAATTAAATCTGCAGGATTGTGTGCTTATGCTTCAGTGAAAGACTACTGCATTAAATTTTTTTAAAAATCAAAATATTACTTATCCATTCGTAACATTAACTGGGATCATAACAAGTTCCTATTACCTTTGTAATGACCCTAAAACTTAATGGGGAGAGGCTTACCTGCAATTATGATGGGCTCAAACTATTTTGGAAATATTATTCAAATTATCAAGAGAAGAAAACCTATCTGGATGCATTACAGGATTTACTTCCCTGTAGATATGCTGGCCGAGCCAGTGGGTTTGATTGCAAATGTTTCATCACCCTGCTAGGTAACATCGTCAGTGCACCTCTGGTGAAGCGTTGGTGTTCTGTCCCACTTGTTATTTATATGCCTCAGTTGCTGGGGTGGTTGGTATTACTTCCGGTTTTGTTTCTTAGTGGTTTGTGCACAGGGTCTAATTCAATGCGTTTGTTGATGGAGTTCCGGTTGGAATACCAGGCCTCCGGGAATTCCCTGGCGCGTCTGTTTGTTTTGTGCGATTATGGATGTGTTGTCCCAGTCAAATTTGTGTCCCTCATTGTCCGTGTGTAGTGAGACAAGTGAGAATTGGTTGAGTCTCTTGGTGGCTAGTTGGCGTTCATGTATCTGTACTGTCAATTTTTTTTCCGGTTTGGCTTATTTAGTGTTTCTCACAGACCTTGCATGGTATTTTGTATATTAGTCCAGTTTTGCTGGTTTTGGGTATGGGATCCTTCATGTTCGTCAGGAGCCGTCGGTTTGTAGGCTACTCTGATACTTAGGGGTCTGAGTAGTCTTATGGTCATCTCTGAAATACCCTTGATGCATGGTAGCGTGATTCGTGAGTCTGGCCATGTTGTGTCTTCCTGTTTTGTTCTGTCTTGTAGGTAACGGCGCATTGTGCTTGTCGGGTATCCATTTCTTTTGAAGACTCCGTATAGGTGCTCCTGTTCCACTTTGTGTAGTTCTGGGTTGCTGCAATGTGTTGTGGCTTGTTTAAATAGTGTCCTGATGCAGCTCCGTTTGTGGGCGTTGGTGTAGTTGCTAGTGTAATTGAGTATCTGGTCCGTACGTGTGGTCTTTCTATGTACGCTAGTCTGGAGTTCCCTGTTGTTTTTGCGTTCTGCCATTATGTCCAGAACGGGTAGTCGGTTGTTGTCTTCTTTTTTCATGAATTTTATCCCGGTAAAGGACATCACACAGTTAGGAAACTGTATTACAATGACCCTGAAGAAATTACACAACTCAGGAAACATCAGCAAGACAGCCTACCAAAAATTGAGCCAGAGGGATCCAATACACCCGGACTCTACGGACTCCCAAAGGTACACAAACCAGGGGTCCCCCTCAGACCCACTGTCTCACTGCCAGGTACATCAACATACAGACTTGCCAAAGAACTACAACAGAAATTGAAATACTTAGTGGACAACAGTACACACTCCATCCATTCATCCCAAAAATTCCTCAACATCAAGAACACCAGGACAGAAGAGGACGAGGTGATGATATCCTTCGATGTAACAGCACTATTTACATCTGTGAACATCAACACAGCCAAAGAAACAACTGCCACACTGCTAGACGAATCAAGTAAGCAGGCAACCCAGGACACCAAAAACATCAATAAGGACACTACCATGAAACTACTAGATCTGTGCCTCACAACTGACTTCTCATTCAATGACAGCATATACAAACAAATCAATGCAACACCAATAAGATCCCCAATATCAGGACTAATTACAGAAGCAATAATGCAAAAGGTTAGAACAGACAGCACTCCCCACCACACAACCCAAACTTTGAGTCCAATATGTAACTGACACCTTGATGATTATTAAACCCACAAAACTAGAAGAAATGCACCGACACAAACAACATCCTTACCAGGATAAAATTCATATAGAAAGAAGTGAACAACAATCGACTACTGTTCCTGGACATAATGGCAGAACACAGAAACAACAGGGAACTCCAGACTAGCATACATAGAAAGACCACATATATGGACCAGATACTCAATTATACTAGCAACCGCACCAATGCCCACAAACAGAGCTGCATCAGGACACTATTTAAACAAGCCTCAACACATTGCAGCAACCTGGAACTACACAAAGTGGAACAGGAGCACTTATACAGAGTCTTCAAAAGAAATGGATACCCAAAAAGCACAATCTGCCGTTACATACAAGACAGACCACAACAGGAAGACACAACACGGCCAGACTCACTAATCACCCTACCATACACCAAGGACATTTCAGAGATGACCATAACACTACTCAGACCCCTAGGTATCAGAGTAGCCCACAAACCGACAACCACCCTGTGACAGCTATTGACAGACGTAAAGGATCCCATACCCAAAACCAGCAAAACTGGAGTAATATACAAAATACCATGCAAGGACTGTGAGAAACACTACATAAGCCAAACAAGAAGAAAATTGACAATACAGATACATGAACACAAACTAGCCACCAAGAGACTCAACCAATTCTCACTTGTCTCGCTACACATGGACAATGAGGGACACTAATTCGACTGAGACAACACATCAATAATCACACAAGACAGAGACATGCCAGGGAATTCCTGGAGGCCTGGTATTCCAACCGGAACTCCATCAAACACACTGAATTAGACCCTGTGCACAAACCAGAGAAACAAAACCGGAAGTAATACCAACCATTCCAGTAAACCAAGGCATATAAATAACAAGTGGGACAGAACACCAATGCTTCACCGGTGGCACACTGACGATGTTACCTAGCACGGTGACAAAACGTTTGCAACCAAACCCACCGGCTCAGTGAGCATGTTCACAAATTCATCCACAACCCGAGTTACAAGTCTTCTCAAAAACTTAAAAGGATTTACGCCCATTAATATGCGTGCTCAGCTTATCACAAATTAACCCAAGCCAAATAGTTTTGAAAGCACATATCTGTGACTCCACCACAGCGTGCGTCATAATCTCCAAAACCAGTCGGTTACTCTACTGTTAGAGATGGGAGACCTGTTGACAACCTGTAAATAGTGGCCATAACACTAGGTTTTACAGTGATGATTTACAGTGGAAGAGACAACCAGCACAGTAAACACCTGTTTACTACAGCAAGCCCAAATATCAAGAGAGATAGTAAGAACTGCAGATGCTGGAGTCAGAGAAAACATACTGTGGAGATGGAGAAACACAGCAGGCCAGGCAGCAGAGGAGCAGGAAAGGTGATGTTTCAGGTCAGGACCCTTCTTCAGAAACGAAGCCAAAATATCAAATTAGGTTTTGGTTTCAAATGAGACATTTTGGGATGAAAGGACTTGCATCTATAGGGCACCTTTCACAATCTCAGTATTTTCCATATACTTTTAGTCAATATGTACATTATAAACCATTGTATTTGCAAGCAATTCTAAACAGTAGGCCTCCACAAACAGCAATGTGATATTCACAAGTTAATGAGGATTATGAAGGCTTGGTTGAAACACAAGTGTTGGTCAGGACTCCCTCGAGCCTTTTTGCCACTTTGTTTTACACATCCACCAGAAACCCCAAATACAGCCTTAATTAAAAGTCTCAAAATTCAGCACCTCCACTTTAATACTACATTAGGTGTGGGGGCCGGGATTCTAGGCTGACATTTTTGGAGTGGGAAATAAATCCAAAACCATCAGACTCAGACAAGATCCCGACTCAACTGAAGCTGAGGCCAAGCTCCCAGAAAGTAGCATGGGCAATTCAGGAGTAGGCTGAAAGCAAGAGATTTTGATCTTGATGTCTTTATCCCAAGCTGGACAAATACATATTTGTTACTCTTCCAGTTATAATGGAAGTCCGACGGGAAGAGGTTTCTGCTAACACTGTCATCAATAATTGAAGGCAGAGAAACTTGGCAAGTTATGCTTTCACTTGTGAAACTAGCTGCTCACATTATTTCTACAGTCAACTAATCTCCTGAGCAGACAAAATCATCCACGGCAGTCTGACCACCTTGAATACTTCCTCATTCAGGAACCTATACAATGTCCTCATTCTGGAATTATTCCACAGCTCCGAGGGAGAGGAGTAAATTTTTTCTTTTGTAATTTGGATGAAGCCAATCAATGCAAATGGACAGCAGAACAATGGCTACTTCACCCCTCAATGCCTCAAAATTTGGATGCTGTTTCAAACAAATCTGATTGCAACATTATATAGAATTACAAGGACTCAAACTTGAAGATTATAATTGATATTCCCCGATGGTTAAGTTTGGGATTCATGGACATGTGGTGATTTCCTCAGATTCTACATTCATCTGTGCACTAATTGTGAAGGAAATTCACCTGCCGAATTTATGAAGAAGAACTTGATGTAAATTTCGTAATTACATATTCCATGACTGTTACTACTTTTTACATCATGGCTGCATGTACATAATAAAATTTAATACATTAACTTTAAACCTTTACACACTCAAAAAAATGGCAGACCTAACAACACAATTCAATTCTGCATAGAGAAAAGAGAAAGTTGGGATTGCAGCAGTCAACCAACTGGGCAGACATACTCACCTTGATAGCTTGGAACTGGAGATCTAATCGAATAGTGCTGGTACTGGGAGACCCAGGCCTTACTGCAGCTTGTGCACCAGGAAAGAGCAGGTTGACAAAGCGGCCTGGTGTGGCAGCCAGCACATCACGGAGAGGCTTCGCATCTTTATGCTTCAAAAAACTCTGGAAAGGAGCAAGAGAGTAGATCTCAGAACAAAAGGCTGGGCAATGTAGTGACCAATTTCATTAAGTAGATTGAGCAGACTTATCAAACACCAGTAGCCTGGTTTCCACAATATCAATGAGACCAGTTTAATGCCATCTCCACATTTTTACATGCAATAGTATCAACTAAATGAAGAAAACATAACACCACAGTTATAATCAACTTCACAGAGGTTAATTAATTTACTGATGAAGTCCTGACCAATATGAGCATTACCATAAACATTCTGCTCCATTGAGGATCATTTAAAGTGGCCTCCATCATAAAAAGTTCAACAGTTTGTGCCGGGTAACGTGTCAGAAACTTGATCAGAGGCTCACGGAATGGACTTCCAGCCTATATAAAAGCAAAAAAAGTGATTTATTTTGTGAATTTCATTTAAATTTGAAGTAAAGCACAAATTCTTTCATCTAGTGGCAGTACTTTGATTCATTTGCTGAATAAAAATGCCATCATTTTGTAACTGCCTTTTTCACCAGTCACATTCTACATTCAAGGGTCACGCAGGATCAACATTCCACAGATTGCTAACACATTTTCATATCAAGGATAAACTGTTGTTTACAGTTTACTTATCTAAGCAGTTGTAAAAGTTGACATTACTAATTTTCTCCCCAATCCTGCTTCACTAGCTTAAGTATGCCCCTCTTTCGTAATACCCCTGCAGAGATCACGGAGAATTAGCTCGACAGCAGAATAATTCCTTCTCATTAAAACGATCCTTAAGCTTCTTCATCACTGCCCTATTGTTTTGCAGAATGCTCCAATAACAGAAGTGGTGACTACAGTTACATGGATTGTAAACTAAAAAATTTCAAAGAAAATTAGTACACAGTTCACCTATTTAACTGAAACAACATGGATCCAAAATTTTTGTGAATGTGAATCAAAATTAAAGTTTAGTACACATTCTTGTTCTAGAAATAAGTACTATGAACTGAAACTAGAGTTTGAATTGACAGTAAACTAAGACAGTTTAATACACAAAAGTTGTCTATATTGTATTTGGAAGAACATTACTTTCACTTTTAAATTTCCTAAAAGATTGCACAATTAAACAATATGGGAATTATTTTTTTAAAAAATCAAGAACAAGTTTTGACAATTGATCATCAACTTGAAACATGAGCCCAGTGTTTCCCGTGCTCCCGATGGCAAAGCTGTCCATGTTCACCATCAATACACCAAAGGCCCAGCAACTATAAAAGACATGTCTGTATCAGGTTTTGTTAATGGCAATCAATCAGTCACTTTGACTGCAATTTAAAATCCATGCCACTGAGGCAATGGGCACTGGAAGGCATTTCAACTTCCAAATCAGCGTAGAAGAGATCTGATTTTTTAAAAATGATATAATTTGAAGTATTTGGCATAATTCCTATACCATTTATCTGACTTTTAAAAACATGCATAAACTTGTGTTTCGCAAATTTATCTGACTTGAGTTTTTCTACTCATGTATTTTCTATTTTGAATCTATTGTGACAAATACTGCAGCACTTAGTTTTGGCACATTGGGCTGGCATGACTTCTATTCACTGCACCACATGATCTGTCCTTGTCATTCAGGTTAGAGAACACTGCAGGGCTACGCTAAGATCAACACGGAGGGAATCTTCCCTCCTTCCAAATGAAATTTTTAATTCCATCATCATGCTAGGTAAGGGCAAAATTTATTTCATAAGGTCAGTGACAAGTGCAGTTCACCTTCCTGGTGACCATAAACTCCTGGAAATTAACCCTTTCTCTCTGCAGAGATGTTGCCTGACCTACTGAGTGCTATCCAGCAACCTATGCCTTTATTAGTTAATTAAATCTGCTTTTGGTTAATGTCAAGTACTTTAATGCAATGATTTTGAGGAGGGTCAGTATCTAATTTATTTACCTCAATAAGCATAGCCCGTTCAGTTTTCATCACCACCTCCAGCAGAGGCTTCACTAGAGTCTGAGGTGCAGCCGGAATTAAGTGGAACAGATTAATGATGGCCGAGCAGATTTTCATTTCCTGTACAGGCAAATTAGCAGCATTATGAAAAGGTCCATTGAACTAAGTTACTGTACAGATGTAAAGCATCAGTCCATTAACTACACACATAACTCTACCCACTTCCCACTTTTAGGGCTATAATTTCCTGAAAACAGAAAATATGCACAAAGAATAGTGCAAGTCTTTCAATCGCAGAAACTCTATAGCATACCCTCGAAAGGTAGTTCTCACTCAGGTGTGTTGTAATGTCATCTGATTATTATTGAACACTGCAAAATTCCTAAATAATCTTCGTTCTTCAAATCATAGTCTGAGACAGAGATATTTGTTTTCTTGCCTAATTGAAATCCAGAGATGAGTGGCAGAAATAAGATACAACAAATGAAACCACTCATTACAAACAGTCCTTACATAATTTAAATGTAATTGCTCGTTAATGAAAGCTCCCATCAGCATGTTAGCCCTTTGAATATTCACATCGATCCAAAAATGGGTTGCACAAAAATATTTTTTCCAAAATGAAAATTATTTCTTTCCTGTATATTGTCATCAAATTAGTATCACAGTTTGTAATATGAGATTATATAAAAGCTTTTGGGGTCAAAAGGAACTGGAAGATATTAAGAGCTAGGATGAGAAAACGAAGCCGACATCGATAAACTCGTATTTTAAATGGACCTCACTGCTATTCCTCTAACACACAGGATCCTATAAACCAAGCATCTTTCCTTGATGTAAGACCATAAAATATAGAAGTAGAATCAGGTCACTCAGCCAGCCCATTCAATCCGCTCTGCCATTCGATCGTGGCTGATCTGTTTCTCAACCCTATTCTCCTGTCTTCTCACCATAACCTTCGGTCCCTTCTCTAATCTATCCTAATAGTGGCAAAATTGTCTCCATATCCACTCTGTCTAGGCTTCTCGATATTCTGGAAGTTTCGATCAGATCCCCCCTCATACTTATAGACTTCAAGTACAGACCAAGAGTCCTCGTTCCTTATATGATAAGCCCTTCATCCCTGGGATCATTCTGGTAAAGCTCCTCTGAACCCTTTCCTTAGATTATGGAGCCCAAAACTGCTCAAAATATTTTAGATGTGATCTGACTTGACCCTGAGACAGTCACAGAAGTACATCCCTGCTCTTGTATTCTAGCCCTCTGGAAACGAATGCTAACATTTCATTTGCATTCCTAACTACAAACTGAACCAGCATGTTAACCTTCAGAGAATCTTGAACTAGGATTCCTAAATCCTTTTGTACTTCAGATTTCCAAACCTTTCCCCCCGCCATTTAGAAAATAATCTACTCCTCTATTCTTTCTACCAAAGTGCATTAACTCTCACTTTCCCACATTGTATTTCATCTGCCACTTCTTTGCCAACTCTTCTAGTCTGTCCATGTCCTTCTGCAGCCTCCCTACCTCCCCAACACTACTTGTTGCTTCATCTACCTTTGTGTCAACTTGGCAACAATGCCCTCAGTTCTTTCATTCAGATTGTTAAATGTATTATGCCAAAAGCTGCGGTCCCAACACTGAAGTCCAGCCATCCTGGAAAAGACCCCTTTATCCCACTCTCTAGCATTTGCCAGTCAGCCAATCCTAATCCATGCCAGTACCTTGCTCCTAACATCATGAGCTCTTATTTTATTTAGCAGCCTCCTGTGTGGCACCTTGTCAAAGGCCTTATGGAAATCCACACAGATCACATCCACTAGCTGTTTGTCTAACTTGCTTGTTACCTCCTCAAAGAATTCCAACAGATTTGTCAGGCATGACCTCCCCTTGACAAAGATATAGTGACTCAGCTCTATTTTGACATGCACTTTCAAGAACTTCGCAATTTCATCCTCAATAATGGATGAAAATTTTATCAATGACTAAGGTCTGGCTAACCAACCTATAATTCTTCTGCCTCCCTCATTTTTTAAAACAGAAACGTTACATTAGCCATTTCTAGCCCTGTGGGACCTTCCCTGACTCTAGTGAGTCCTAAAAGATCACCACCACAATCTCAACCATCTTCTTCAGAAGTCTGGGTTATAGTCCACCTGGTCCAGGTAATTTATCTTTCAGACCTTTCAGCTTCTCCAGCACTTTTGCCTTCGTAACGGCCACTACACCATCTCTGCCCCTGATTCTCGAAGTTCTGGTATGCCACTGACATCTTCCACTGCGTACTGACGCAAAGTACCTATTCAGTTCCTTTGCCAATTCTTTGCTTCTCCATTATTACTTCTCCAGCCTCATTTTCCAGTGGTCCAATGTCCATTCTTGCCTTTCTCTTACCTTTTAGATATCTAAAAAAATCTCTTGCAATTTTCTATTACTAGCTAGCTTTCCTTCTTATTTCATCCTCTCCCCCCACTTTTTGTTTTTAAAAAAAAAAAATGCCCTTTGCCGGTTTTTTTTTTAAAAACTTCCCAATCCTCAAGCTTCCCATTCATTTCACCACATTGAACGTTTATTCTTTTGTTTTTATGCCATCCCTGACTTCCCTGTCAGCCATGGTTGCCTCCTCCTCATCTTAGTATGCTTCTTCTTCCTTGGGATGAATTTCCGCTGTCCCTCCCAAATGACCCCCAGAAACTCCTGTCATTGCTGCTCTACCATCTTCCCTGCTAGGCTTCCGTTCTTATCAACTCTGGCCAGCACCTCCCTCATGCCTTTGTAGTTATCTTTACTTAATTTAAATAAGAAAAACGTTATATCTGCTTCCAGCTTCTCCCTCTCAAACTGCATGATGAATTCTATCATACTCTGGTCACTGACCCCAGGGGTTCCTTCACCTTAACCTCAAGTCTGCCTTATTAGACATCACCAAATCCAGAATCTCCTGTTCCCTAGTCGACTCTACCACAAGCTGCTCCAAAAACCATCTTGTAAACATTCTACAAATTCCTTTTCTCCTTATAACATGGATGGAGCAGGGATTGAATATGTGGTAAAGAGGTTTGGTGGAGAAAATTAAAATGTTGCAACAGAAGAACTCAAAAGATATTTCCCAACATATGGCAAGTTTATACATAATAAAAACCTTTATTAATAAATAATTAATACAACGATGGTTACTTTTTACTCAATATATCTAGGTATACATAATGAGATATTAGCCCAGACATAAAGTAATGTTCTCCAGTCTT